CACACACACACAACACACACACACACCACACACACACACCCACACACACAAACAACACACACAACACACACACATGTATATATATATATATATATATATATATATATATATATATATATATATATATATTATATATATATGTTTGTGTGCGTATTTATATATATATATATAATATATTAATATATAATATAATAATATATAATATATATATATAATATATATAGCTTGTTGTTTACTTTACAACATGACGTCGCCGACGAAATACGTACCATGTAATATGCAAGAAAAGAAAGAGCAATTTAGAAATATGACATGGATGGCACAGAGGAGCTATTACACAATATAAGGGTCTTCTTGAACTATTGCATCAGATTCTTTAATAGGCGACAATCAGTCTCTGAAACCATTCCAATCCCATGCCAGCCGCAGCAACTCCACAGCCAAATCCATACTCGACACCAGCTGTAGGAAAATTCCTGGGAACTGCAATGCTTCATTGTTTGGTAAAATGTTTGTTCATGAAATTACTTTACATCCGTATATCAGGATAGACCACATGTAGCATAATAGCAGGGTACTAACAGTCTCCAGTCCAGGCATTAAAGGAACAGATACTGGACGACTAGTAATATGGCAAAATCGGATTGATTATCGTCTATTTTTCTTCTTTTGTTTTCTTTGTTAAAATGTTCCTTATGCCACAGTACTGCAATATTTCAGGTTATCATCTTCCTTTCCAAACAACTGTATTTCAAACGGGGCGCATGGGTAAGTAAAAACGCACTGTCTTTGCCGGTAATAAGTGAAGACCATTCCAGGAAAACCCCACTTTAACAATTCAGTTTCTTTTCCAGCTAAGTATGGACAGGGAACAGAAAACAGTGGTGGCCGAATCAATACCACAACCATGGGAGTGTATAAGAACTATTGTAAAAGTATTTATTATTTAGAAACACGGCTACAGGAGGTGTTGCAAGGTCAGATGTGGGCAGAGGGTCCATTGGATACTTGGGGTACACATGATGAAAACGGTCAAACAGTTATGGCCGAATACTTCAGAGCGAAAATCTTATCGTGAATTGGTATGGTACATAACGATGATTAGAAGAATATTCTTGGTTGAGAAATATGCGTACTGGTTAGGTAGAAGACTATGGGTCAGTTGATTTGTGTGTGTCTGTGTCATGAGGTATAAGGTCGCACATATAGTCAGTTTCATGTCGGAAAAAAATATGCACAGAATGTTTTTATTTATTTTTATTATTATTATTTTTGTCAACACTGTAGAATGTTTTTGCCACTCAGGCAGTGTAACGCTAGACCACGTATGGGACTGAATAATTCGGAAAATATTGCAACAGTGAAAACAAAACAAAGCATTAGTTTCCCGTTTCATTTAACTTGCCTTCCTCGCTACCTACCAAGTCCCTGATTTTAGCGTGAGACTCTTTAGAATTCACGAGAGAAAATCGCCATACTATTCCTCGATCATCATTGATGCGAGATGTTAAGGGGTGAATGGAAAACCCTCTACCGTATTGCTACTATGGTAGAAAAACCCACAATGTACAAACTAAATTGATTAAAGTAAGTGAGACAACAGTTTCGGAATCATCCTCGAAACTGTTTTGTCCCTTACTTCAATAAATTTAGCTTGTACATAGTTTTTTTAAATTTATTTTATTTTATTACTATTTTTTTTTTTTTTTATCATGTTAAGGGGTATTTGCATGCTTCTTGAAAACGTGGCGTGTTCGGCAGTCGATGCTGAATTATATGCATCTGAGTGCTGCGGTTGGTTGGGCTTGGCATGCATGCGTAATTAAGAGATGTAGAAAGGGAGAAAAATGGACAGACAGAGGAATGGAGGATGGGGATAGGGAGGGAAAGGGAGGGAGGGAGGAGGAGAGATAGAGATAGAGAGAGGGAGAGACAGAGGGGGAAAGGGAGAGAGAGAGAGGGAAAAGGAGAGGGAGAGAGGGAAAGAGAGGGAAGGGAGAGGGAAAGGGAGAGTGAGAGGAAAGGGAGAGTGAGAGGGAAAGGGAGAGTGAGAGAGGGAAGAGGAGAGAGAGGGCGAGAGGGATGAGAGAGTGTGTGTGTGTGTGTGTGTGTGTGTGTGTGTGTGTGTGTGTGAGAGAGAGAGAGAGAAGAGAGAGAGAGAGAGAGAGGAGAGAGAGAGAGAGAAGAGAGAGAGAAGCGAGAGAGAGAGAGAGAGAGAGAGAGAGAGAGAGAGAGAGAAGAGAGAAGGAAGAAAGAAGAAGAAAGAAAGAAAGAAAG